AGAAATGGGGCTAAGTTTTTATGCCTGGAGTCTGGAAGAACACCATGTCAGGAGCACACTAGGGAAGTTAGGAGAAGGAACTAGTTTAGGGAAGTTGTGGGTTTCGTTTTGGTCTTACTCATAGAATTCATGGGGAAGTGTACTTGGATGAGCTACTTGGGGCAAGAAACCCTTGCAGCAAGAAGGAGATATGATCCTCAGCACACTGTGCTGTCTGAAGGTTCTGCTTACTGTGGCTTGATGTGGAGAGTAGGTACCACAAAGAAAATATCTCCGGTCCATGGTGCCTCTCAAGTCAAGGGTGTCCATAGCAGCCCACTCTGCTTTTTTTTTTTTTTTTTTTTTGAGATGGAGTCTCGCTCTGTCGCCCAGGCTGGAGTGCAGTGGCGCAATCTCAGCTCACCATAACCTCCGCCTCGTGGGTTCAAGCAATTCTCCTGCCTCAGCCTTCCGAGAAGCTGGGATTACAGGCGCCCACCACCACGCTTGGCTAATTTTTTGTATTTTTAGTAGAGATGGGGTTTCACCATGGTCGCCAGGCTAGTCTTGAACTCCTGACCTCAAGTGATCTGCCCACGTCAGCCTTGCAAAGTGCTGGGATTACAGGCGTGAGCCACCGCACCCGGCCCACTCTACCTCTTATAGGAAGTGCTCTCTGAGGGCAGTCAGCCACCAGAGGTTAAGGATGGAGGTAAGGACCACCTCTTACCCATCTTGGTGCCCCCAGAGTACAGAGTGTGGCACCCAGGGAGTGACCTCTGTGATGGACCTGTTTAGTTACATAAAACAGAATGTTGGGGACATGGAAGCACTGAGTGGCAGAAAAAATGGGGCTCTAGTATCTTTCTTCCAGTCCCTCTGTGAATCATGTACTTAAATATATTTATCTAGTAGCCCAGAGGTTAGCAATAAGTTATAATTATAGAATAACAATGGCAGCGACACTGCGAAGTCAGTGTGGGAAGATCTGATTGAATTAAATACAGAAATGACGTTGCTGCCAGAGTTGATACAAGGAAAGAAGATAAGCACAGGATTCAAGAAAACCAGAAACTGAGTTCTTACCCAATGCTGTCAGACCCTCTTCCCTCCCCACAAATAAATAAATAAATAAAAATAGTGCTGGCTCTCATGGCAAAGGCTAGGCTGCAGCCTTTAGAGCAAGACAGGATGAATAAATACTAGAACAATTTGGGTATTTTTTTATGATTAATACCTACAATTCCTTTTTCATTTTGCTTAGGTGTTTGAAGCATCAAGGTTGCATATACCAGTAAGAGGCTGCTTTTATCTGTCTGTCAAATCTGTGAATTGTCCACTCCGAAGAGGTTGAAATTATGCCACAGTAAACTCCTTCATGTTGGATCTTTCTCTGAGAATTCACTGAGATGTTATGAATAGACTGAGCTTAGCATCTCTTTTTTTTTTTTTTTTTTTGAGATGGAGTCTCACTCAGTTGCCCAGGCTGGAGTACAGTGGCGCGATCTCGGCTCACTGCAACCTCTGCCTCCCGGGTTGAAGCAATTCTCCTGCCTCAGCCTTCCAAGTACCTGGGACTACAGGCACGTGCCACTACGCCTGGCTAATTTTTTTTTTTTTTTTTTTTTTTTTTGTAGAAACGGGGTTTCACCGTGTTAGCCAGGAAGGTCTCATCTCCTGACCTCGTGATCTATCTGCCTCAGCCTCCCAAAGTGCTGGCATTACAGGTGTGAGCCACCGTGCCCGGCCAAGAGTTTCTAAGGATCATGTCTGATCTGAGAGTATTTCTTTTTTTTTTTTTTTTTTTTGACAGAGTCTTGCTCTGTTGCCCAGTCTGGAGTACAGTGGCAGGATCTTGGCTCACTGTAACTTCCACCTCCCAGATTCAAGTGATTCTCCTGTCTCAGCCTCCTGAGTAGCTGGGATTACAGGTGCGCACCACCACGCCCTGCTAATTTTTGTATTTTTCGTAGAGACAGGGCTTCACCATGTTGGTCAGGCTGGTCTCGAACTCCTGACCTTGTGATCCACCTGCCTCGGCCTCCCAAAGTGCTGGGATTACAGGCGTGAGCCACCGCGCCCAGTTGTTTAGCATCTTCTTGACCAATGAGCCACTCCAGCTGGACACAATGGGCCATTTGGAGAGGACAGAGGGCAGGCCAGGCATCCCCAGGGGAAGAAAGGTGGGGTTCTCTTGGGAGCAGTTCAAAGTCAGCTCAAACCAGAGCAGGCCAAGGATGCACACATCCAGTTTCGTTTCAATTAAGGTTATGTAAAAGAACCTTCAGAAGTTCTAGTCCTGCCAGCTTTGAAAATCTTCTCTCTGTAAGAACCATCCCTCCTGTGTTGTTTATTTCCTTGAGAAAAGATATTAGATATTAAAGGGACATTTCAACAGATTTAAGTGTTCTCAGAAAAAGGAGATGTTATTCAATTAAAAAGCTACCTTACATTCATGGATGAGCAATAAATATTTGTTGATTTGATTTTCAGTCCTACTTTTCAAGAAGTAAGTGGAATTGAGGAGGATGTTAGGGAATCATTTTTGAAAGATTAAAATTAGCAACCACAGTCTCATCTTCTACAATTATATTGCAGAAAAATTGTTTATTTTCCTGGCATACAAAGGAGCTGGCTTTCCTCAGCTTTATTTTCCTTTAGCGTCTGATTTACTTGGTGAAAAATGGAGAGGACAAAGGAATAACACCAAATACAAAGAATATACTTGGCTTCAAAAAGAAAACCAGAATAAACAGAGAAACTGCTAATGTCTCTACTCTTGGTAAACAGCTTATGAGAAGGCTTTGGAGGCAGAACAGCTCCCTGCCCTCACTCCAGCATGTAGTTTCAATTCAGTGAAACCTCAGTAAATTGCTTCAGGAAAATAGATGCAAGTGGATTTGCATTTGGGTGTTTCAATAACTTGAGTAATTTCCTCAATACTGAGCATGACTTTTGCACCCATTATTAGAGGGGGCTGAAAGAGAGTGGCCAAGTGGCAGAGTTCCCGGCAGGCCTTACTGTGGTAACAGCCTTCAATCACTGCCATCGTGATGTGACAAATCATGGCTTTTTTTGGTGCAGCTGATAGCTCAGGGCCGTGATGTACCAAGTACGAACACTTGAATGTCAACAACATAAGAATATTTGCCTGTACCAGTTCCTTTTAACATCTGTGAAGGCTCTTTACAAAATCCAATAAATGTAATCAAAGACCAAACAATCAAACACCATAAATAATTCTGCTGAGAAACTGAGAGGCCTTGGCCACTGCACACTGTCCCACTGCCTTCCCCGAGAGCTCACTCGCGGCTCCCTCTGTCATTCTCTCTCTCTCTCTCTCTCTCTTTTTGTTCTTCCTTCCTGCCTTTGTCTCTATTTCTAACACATTGTTGCTGCGATGCAACATTAATCACTGAATATTTTCTGTAGCTTTCAAAAACCCAAAGCAACATTTGGTTGCTCATGGGTTCCTTAACCTACTTTAGTCCTAAATGAAAAAGACTATGGAGGCCAAGACACGGACACAGGGTTTTAACTCTGCCTCGTCTCAGAAAGAGGACAGTCTTGCAGGAAATCATCTTACTCACCTTCCTTCAGGCTGTAGTTCTAAAGAATTTTCCATAAAAGCTGTCCTTGAATAAACAACTCCTGCCTTGCCCATTTGGCCTGCTGTTATTCTGGAAGGCTTGTATCTGTCTCTTCTAAATGGGCCTTTTCGTCTCTGACATTTCAGTGGGGTATCCAACTTTCAGCAGCAAATTGGTCTACCCATTCCTGCATATTTTCAGATTTTCATCTTCCATAACTACTTTCGTAATGGTTCCAGTGAGAAACGTTACCCGGAAAACCCAAAAGGGAAAAATTGGATGATGACGTTTTGATGAACAATTTTATTTAGGAATGTGGGCTCTACTAGAATGATTCTTTTTTTTTTTTTTTTTTTTTTGAGATGGAGTCTTGCTCTGTCGCCCAGGCTGGAGTGCAGTGGTATGATCTCGGCTCACTGCAACCTTCACTTCCTGGGTTCAAGTGATTCTCCTGCCTCAGCCTCCTGAGTAGCTGGGACTACAGGTGCCTGCCACCATGCCCAGCTAATGTTTGTATTTTTAGTAGAGACGGCATTTCACCATGTTGGCCAGGATGGTCTCAATCTCTTGACCTCGTGATCTACCTGCCTCAGCCTCCCAAAGTGCTGGGATTACAGGCGTGAGCTGCTGCGCCTGGCCTAGAATGATTCTTTAAATGATTTTTTTTAAAGGATTAGACTTAGGTACATTTTCAATATACTTTTATAGTTTTAGGTACATTTTCAATATAGTTTTGCCCTTCCTAATGAGAATCCTGAAAATATTTGAGCATAAACAAAAAACATTGCCTCATACTGGCTGATTTTCATCAGGCAAAGGGGCAGGTTATACCATTGTAGGCTATTAATTAAATTACCAGGAAAATTATTTGGCTGCCTGAACCATGCACAGCGATCGAACAGAAGGCAGGAACCCATCGTGTGAAGATGCTGTTTCCATTTTGTGTCTGGGGCTCCCTCAAACATGCCCTTTAAAAGCCTGGTGCAAACCCATATGACATGACCATTTTCTTTCTCTCTTTCTTTCTTTTCTCTCTTTCTCTCACTTCCTTTCTGTCTTTCTTCCTTTCTTTTTGAGATGGAATCTCACTCTGTTATCCAGGCTGGAGTTCAGTGGTGAACTGAATTTAATCTTGGCTCACTGCAACCTCCGCCTCCCGGGTTCAAGCAATTCTCTTGCCTCAGCCTCCTGAGTAGCTGGGACTACAGGCACCCGCCACCATGTCCAGCTAATTTTTTGTAGTTTTAGTAGAGATGGGGTTTCGGCGTGTTAGCCAGGATGGTCTTGATCTCCTGACCTTGTGATCGACCCACCTCGGCCTCCTAAAGTGCTGGGATTACAGGCGTGAGCACCTGGCGGACCATTTGCTTTCTCATTGGCTTCCACTGTGGTGTTAAGTCCCCCATAAGACATGGCTGTGTAGCATCTTACCCGCTTGGTGAGCTGAGTGTCCATCATGAAGTTATGAACGTGCTTCTCTGCTTTGGTGAGTTCCAGCTTTCGGGCCACCACGGCCACCACAAGGGCAGTGCAGCCTGCACCCTGTGGGGGGACATCAAGAGGACCAGAGGGGAAAGAACACATCATTAAGAGGCAAGACGAGAGACTCAACACGCCTGGCGCCCACAGGGGTAGTTTCCTGGGAGTGGAGTGGGAACTCGAGCTCTCTGGCTGGTCATGACCAAGCCACAAAATCTGTCGAAATCTGTCAGGACTCTGATGTCCTGACCCACAGAGAGGTCGGCAGTGCCCCTTGGGTTGTGCTCTGCAGCTGACTTCTGGGAGGCTGAGCTAGCCAGTTTCAATGGAGAAGGATGCTGGGTGGTGCTGAGACTTTGGGGGGTTTAACCAACAGATAAGCACCTGGCCACCTGCCAAGCTGTGTAGCGGAAGACAGAGGGGCCAGCACACACGGGCCCTCTCTCCCTCAGGCAGGTCTCCATCCCACTGCCAACTCTAGACCAGCGGGCCCGGGAGGAAGGCAGGCAGGACATCAGCTGGGTGCAGATGGAACACCTGTCAGTGGCTGAGAGTGTTCCTGAAAACAATCTAATGAAGAGCCAATACCTTTCCCCAGGGCTTGTTTCACAGAGGGTACCCAGGTTGGCACGAACACATGCACTCAGTGACTGTGCTTGCCCTGCGGTTGGGCTTTTTCACCTGAGGGTTTACGCTATGACTCAGCACAAGGAATCGGTTCCTTCCTGCCTTCACCAGGAGGCTCATGAATTCACCACCATGCAGAGATTTTAAACACAACACCACTTCTGCTAGATCAAAACCAGGATTTTAAGTGAGCCCGCAGCAGACCCTTGGGATTTTCCGGAACAGCGATCCTAGTCTGCTCGGTAGGTCCATGCCAGGGGAGCCCGGGAAAGGGTGGGCAAGGAAGCAGGCTCTGCTGAGCCCCAAGAATGGTGAGACTCACTTTTTCTGTCCTAATCCTCTGGGTGCATGCTTGACTGTCTGGGAAATAAGCAGGGAATTCCCTGCACATTCCAACATTCTCCCGACACATTTTAAAATCATCTTCGCTGGGCTTCTTGGTTGGCTTGTGAGCACAGGGGGACGTCGAAGACTCACTACTCCCCTGGCTCTTTGGCAGGCAGCCGGAATCAGCCCCCTCCTTCTGCGAGCGGACTCTCATCAGAGACCATCGCCCTCTACCTGCACGCTGTGCCCTGCGCTGCCCTGACCACCACTCATGGAAAGAGATGATGAACTTACTAAAGCCAACAACTGAATCCTAGATGTCAAACAGTAATTCTAGTTGCTACAGAACCCAGTCTAGCAGATGAGGTCCCAGACTGGAAGGAATCTGTCAGTAACATTTTTGGCTCATCAGGTCTTACAAAATGTGTGAGAAGCAGAAAAGAATGTTTTTCAAAGGTACTATAATCTATAACCGACTTGGAAGGAATGCATATGGGTGGATCCATTCCCTACTCTCTCTTTTAGAATCTCTTTCTCTCTTTATCCCACAGGCTGACAAAGGCTAGCCTGTGTGAAGTTTCGATGTGGTTGAAGTTCACAATGCTTTCTCCTCGTTTCCCACAAGGGTCCCCATTAAAACAATCTAGTGTTTCTCAGTACATTGGTTGGCCTTTTCACAAAGTGAAAAGAACCAAGTCTGTGTGAACTTTCCTTTTCTGACCTCATTTTCCTCTTTTGTTCAAGGACGGCTGTGTTTTTTCAGCTTCTGTGACTTACAGGAGACTCTGTGCCCAGTTTTCAAAGGATCTGGGCAGTTGCACAGCCTGGTCTGTAGCTGTAATCAATCTAGCCAGGCCTCCAAAAGCAAAAAATAGCTTAAAAGAAGCCATCCTAGAGGGAAGATGTGTGCTCCCTTCCCCTCGACCGGACAGAGTGTCATCCCTCTCCTTTATATGGAGTTCCAAAAGTACTTTGGGCTGAAAGCCTAAAAAGAGGGCTATATCATAGCATTAAAAATGGAACATCAGATGGAGAGGGTTCTCCCCAGGCTCCATTCTCCCTCCTCTTGCTGGGCCCAAGCAAAACTCTACTTAAATCATCCCTGAAAGCTGAGGTCCAATGGGCCTGAAGAGGGAGCTTCCCTGCACCATGCTACTTTGAGAATGTAATCACAACAATCAATCATCCACCATTCCAAATTTCCAGGGTCTAGATGGGGTGTTTCACAGCTCCTGCCATGGCCCGCACTTTAACTGGCTGAATGCAGGGGGCTTTTAATTAGAAACTACAGTGTTTTATCTAAGGAACCATCTGTCTCACACGAGGAAGATAAATTTCTCTCTGGAGGCAGGACAGTGGACTAGATGGCACTTCCCAGTTTCTTTCAACATAAAGATGTCATGACTCCCTTGTGAGTACCTCTGTAGAGGATGCTGCATTCTTAACCCTTAATTCCAACTTAAATGGATGCTCTCAGCTTCATTTTTCCATTGACTGGATGTAATTGGGGCAGTCACCAGTAATGACACCTAACCTGGATTAAGAGGCAACCTCATAAAGATGGGGCCAGACATCAGCAGCCTTCAGAAAGTCGTGGAGGAATGCTGAAGCCTAGACTGCTGAGCCTCTGCAGACTGTGCGGCGTGTGGAGAGGGAAAATGAAGAAGGGAGAGAAGACAATGGGAACATGAGAGAAGAGGAGGGGAGGGGAGGGAAGGAGAGAGGAGAGAGAAGAGAAGGGGAGGGGAGGGGAGGGGAGGGAAGGGAAGGGAAGGGAAGGGAAGGGAAGGGAAGGGAAGGGAAGGGAAGGGAAGGGAAAGGAAGGGAAGGAAAGGGAAGGGAAGGAGAGGGGAGAAGAGAAGGAAGGTGGCTGCAGGGAGAGGTCAAGCTGGGCAGAGAATGAGATGGGGAACAAGTTGTGTTGCATCCTAAACAGCAAGGGTCAGGGGGGTAAAGAGAGAAGGAGGAGGCTGAGGAATAAGAAAAAATGATGGGCTGATGGGATTGAGAGAGGAAGGAAGAACAAGGAGCCTAAGGCTTGAGCCAGAAGTCAATGGTCCATTTTGGCCCTTTAGAGGACATGAAGGAAGTGCCAAGGGATCCCACCCTGCTGTGTCCATCTTCAATTGGTATAAGACTCGCCTGTCCCCTGGGTCCCCTTTGGGATGCTGGGCCCTTTCACTTAGGTGAGTTAATAGTCTGACAGGCCACAGGGGCAGCCTGGCAGTGCTGTGTCACGTGGCAGTGATGCAGGTTAGTTTTAAGAGACAAATCGCTGAGGGCCTGGCTAACCGTGGAATCTTGGAAATGGCTGGTGGGCAGAGGGGGTGTGTGAGGAGGGAGGAAGCAGGACGGGAAAGGGTAAACAGCTGCTGCTATGACTTCCCTGGGGTCAGACTCGGGGGAAGAGCCATGACTCAGCCTTTTGCTTTCAGATATGCCAAGTCCTGAACCACAGGGGACAAAACTAGAGTCCCTGGATCTGTGCTGTCCGACTTCCAGTTCTGTGGGGAGAGGGGAGGAGATGGGGTCTACTTCTGATGAGCTGGAACTTCCCAAGGCACGTGGGCGAGCAGGGAGCACCGAGTGCACGGAGGGAGGGTGGCTGGGACGGGGTGAACACGCCTAACTCTAGAGATTCGGACCCAAATCGGGACCGAGACTCCTCCACACCGGTCCTCCCACCTCTTGTTTTCAAGAAACATTTTCCAGCTGGAAAACCTTAGAAGCTGGAAAAACAAGTATCCCAAGGGGAAAAGTATGAGGTGTTCTTAACTAAAGAAGCATAAAATAAAATAAAACACAAATGAAAGTGACAAATGGAGGAGGGAAGCCTGGAGGATTTACAGTTGGATTCTGTTTCTGCAACAGATTCCATGCAACAACTAAAATAACATCAATTGGTTTGAAACCAAGGTGTTTCGGGAGAAGCTCATCTTCTAAAACTGACATTAAGCAGATGTCTTGCTGAGCCCTCTTTTTGCCTCCTCCCAAAATGACTCAATTTGTGCTACCTTTTACTTCATCATCACTTTCCCTTGGCAGTTCAGACGCATCTCTCATGAGGCCACTGGGGAAAAGCTCAGCGTCCCCGCAGACATTGGAAGCTTTTGCCTGTTTGTCCAGAACTCATGAAGGGTCTACAGAGTGAGTCCAGCTTTAGAAAGAGGCTAGATTGAAACAAAGTTATGCCAAGCAGCCTTGAGGGGCTCTGGGGTCTTCCAGATGCCTGCAGAACCAGAAGGTCAGCATTGTACATATTTTACGTTGCATTGTCATTTCCAATTCTGGATACTAAATATTGACAGCTTTCTCTCTACTGTGTTGTCACTGTGATCATGAAAAATCCTTATGGAAAGATGCTGGACTTTAATGTAGCTGCTTTTGTGGGTGAAATCTCTCAAACACACCAGGTCTGTGCCAGCCACGGCAAGTTGTTCAGACAATTATATACCCTGCTTAATGGCTGATAATTACATCGTTACTGGGATTGCCAAGAGAAAACAATGATTAAGACTATTTACAGGCCACACACACACACACACACACACACACACAAATCCTTCCTTTCCCTTCCCAAGCAGGCCTTGCCTTGGCCTTCATGGTGTCCATGGTAACCAAACAGGAAGCCCTACCTTTAGTAAAGGCACTTGCAATAATAATTGGGAGCTATACATAGTGTTGGGAGGTTGGGAGGAGGAGGGGAAAGGATCCTCAGCAAAGTGAAACCCTGGCTAGGAGTGACTCAGCTAGAAAAATCACATTTGCTAGAAAAATGCCACCAGGGTTCCTCACTGTGGCTGACCCCAGAGTGAGGCGACTGACTTTAATTTGGGTGAAAAACACTGACAATGAATAGAGGAAACCTCCCTGTTCCCGTATATAGAAAGGTATATATTTATGCACAGGGTTTTGTACAAAAAGAGATGAAAGGCCTGGGCTGTATTTTTCATATGGAAGGTGGGGATTGGATTGGGTCCTCCTCATCCATTTGTTCTTTCCACTTTGATCACACCTCAATCCACAGGGAACGGAACACTCCCTCTGGGGGAGCGCTGCAGAGCCAGACAGCAAAAGGGAGTGCTGAAAGACAAGCAGCCCCCGGACCCCAAGGAGAGGCAGGGGTCGGGCAAGGGTCTCGCCTGTTCCGCTCAGCTGTGCCAGAGTAGAGCCAGGAGATGCGAAGTCCAGGAACCAGGAAGCCGGGTCCTTAGGGTGCTGCTTCTTGGATGGGGCACAGCTATGTGCTGAGAGGGAGAAAGTCTGGTATTTTAAAATAACAGAGGCTCCCCGCAGGGCCCATCCGTCTATTGGCAACCCTGTTCTGTACCAGCCCTGGCTGACAGCTGGTTCTGAGGCCCAAAGCCCACACCCCAGGAGTGGCTCTAAGAAGGAAAGCTTTGGCCTTTGGTGGCATTTCATTCTTTTCTGGTAAGAAGCATCTTTCCCTGGTTTCCTCATGACAGTTGGTGCTATGCCAAGACAAGCTCCTACTAACCGATGGAAGATATTTGTTCTAAAGCCTTGCACTTACCCATGATTTATCACAACCCCAGCGCTAAGCTTTTTGTCATTAGCTGCTGTCGTAGGACCTGCTTGCTAATAGGGACCTGCCCTGGACTGGAGTCAGAAAGGAGGAGAGAGCCTGGCCCCTCTTGCTCAGCAGGCCGACTGCCCCAAGCCTTGGTCTGACTGTCTGGTCCACCAATATCAGCCCCAGGAAACCAACGAGGCAGACTGGGGTGGGGAGTGTGGGCAGCCCCCAGACCTGCGGCCCTCCCTTTCCACTGCAGAAAGCGGTCACTGCCCTTCCAGAAAGAGGGTCTTCATCTCTCTGGGAGCAATGGGGGTGACGAATGGAATCTGAGGGATCACTGCAAGGAAGGATTTTCACAAAGGTGTGAGGGGGGCTGTGGAGCGGGGGTTGTCCTTGGGAGGGCTGCAGTCTCCAGCCATGGAGACCCAAAGCCACGCCACCAATGGCCTGTCCACTTCTCACCCCGCCACCTCCCCCAGCACTACCCAGGCTTAGATGTGCTTTCCTCTTTCAGCCTCAGTTTCCGCCTCTGAAAAAAGTGTCCAACCCTGCTCTGACACTGTTCTAGGATTCCAGGACGAAGGCCAAAGAGCAGTAGCTGCCTGTCCTGGACCCGAAGTGCAACAAGACCAAGGGAACACTTCACTAATTTGCAACTGAAGGACACTGAGGACACCACCAACACTGACCGGTGTGTGACCGCTTCTCGTTTTCAAAGCACTTGAACATAAATCATTGCATTTGGTCCTTGCACAAGTGGGGAGGGCAGGGCAAGCCCTCCATCTCTACTTTCCCTGGAAGATGCTCAGGCCCAATAGGCAGAGTGCCTGGCCCAGGGTCCACAGTGAGCAGAAACTCAGACCCCACATCCCTCTCATAAGGCACACTGTGGTGGCCATGTGACAGGCGAGAGCGTGTGCCTCTGCGAGAGTGTCGAGTGTGGGTCGTAGGGCACTGGGCAAGAGAGATACACCTTGAAAGGGCACAGCACACCTGCTGGGCACCTGGGGATGGGATCACAGCCTTGCCGAATGCCAGTCCTGCAAAGCACTTGGCACTTAAAGCCCAGCCCCACCATAGGCAGAAGTGGAAGCAGAAGCCTGGGAAAGGCAAGAGCCAGCCCAGAGCCACATGGCCAGCCCCGTCCAGGACACAGGTCCCAAAAGCCAACTCAGTGCTCTTTCCCCAGTCCCTGCTTCTGTGAGTTCCAGCTAAACATGATCAGAAATGGTGCCAAGGTCTGTGGGACCAAGGGAACAGGAAGGAGGACAATAAACTGCAAGCCCCAATGCTCACTGGAGGTGAGCAAACTGGGGGGCTGCACAGCAGTGCAGTGGGCATCAGAGCGTCGGGCCAGGACCAGCTTCACCCAGCCGATTTTGAGGGAGCTGTGAATAGACCATTAACTGCCAGGAGTCCAGGTCTCATTCTTACCTTAGAAAAGTCAACTGAAAAGTGAGAAACCATTGCAGATTTCCCACCTGCCTTTTTATGTATAGGGGACACACACGCAGGTTGATTAACTAACAGCCGCCCCCCACGCTGTGGCTAGGAAGGCCCCTATGTGCTTGCAAGAAAGAGTTCTGCTCTTTGCCACATTTTGAGGGTAGGGAATGGGCAGAGGCGGGTACTCACCATAATGCCAGTAAGGAGACAGACACCTTTCCCACAGTATGTGTGGGGCACCATGTCCCCATAACCAATGGAAAGGAATGTGATGGAGATGAGCCACATGGCACCCAGAAAGTTACTAGTTACGTCCTGCTGGTCATGGTACCTGCCGAGGGGAAGACAGGAGTTAGTTGATGAACAGCCATTCCCGGGAGTAAGGGCTGTGGGCAAACCTAGAGGGGGGAAGGAAATGAGATATTTGGCTGAGGAAGAGGCAGCAGTGACAGTGGCTCACACAGATCTCTTTAGGCTACTGAAGGGGCTGCGACTGTGCCCACCCAGGTCCCACCTGCAGCCCCCCATCCCGTTGGCCTCCTGCCATGAGCTTGGTCCCAGAGATAAAATGTTTTGTCATGATTTGCACCTCATTGTAGACACCCTTTTAGTGTTGGTAAGATAGCTTTGGATGAAATCATGCAGTAATAAAATTCAAATTTTCCCTTCCAAGCCGACAGTCTAAATGTATGTGGATGTGATTAATCTGAAATCACAAGCTCCTGAACAGGGAAAATGTCAAAAAAAATTATCAAACATACTCAGCGATTTCCTCTAAGAAAGTTGAAGCATTTCAAAGACTGGTATCTCCCGGGGGGTCTAGAGGGAAGCTGTGGCGGCTGGGGCTCTCGTGGAGCTATCTCTAGAGGGGGCTCTGGGGTGTCCACAGAGACCTGCCTTTCTGAGTCTGACAGGGACTTGTACTTGCCCCGCCCTGAGACGAACCAGCTGGAAACATCAGCACCATTTCCTCTCCGGATGCCTATTCCACCTCATCCCCTTCCTCCCTCCCTTCAACCCCAACACCAAGGCCTGCTGCATGCCAGGCTCTGTGCCAAGTACTGAAATACAGAAATGAACACCATACAGCCCCTGCCCTCAGAGACTCAGCCCAGGAGAGGGGTTTGTCAAGGAGGCAGGCATCTGCAGAGGGGTGCAATCAGGGGGTGGACAAGGTGCCCTGGGGATAGAGGCAGAGGGCAATGACCTTGACCCAAACACATGAGGGTCCACAGAGGTGCCACAGAAGAGCAAGGCTTGCATTTTCCAGGCAGGCCCAGAGGAATGGGTGCTCTGGGCAGAAGACCCTAATGAAAGCCCAGGGCTTATACAAAGTGCAGCAAGGGAGCTGGTTGCAGGCTGGGTGGCAGGGCTGGTGAAGGTGGATCCTCTTCCAAACCGTTCTCTAATGGGATCAGCCTGAACAACACACAATAGACTCTTCATTTTATAATGTAGGGCTTCACTTCTTGATAAAATCTCCTCTTAGCCACTTGGAGGCCACTGGACGGGCAAGCTAAAAACAAAGGGCCAGGGAGACCAAACCAACTAGGTTGGATAGAGTAGAAAGTCATTTAGGAACCTGAATCTACGGAAGTCAGTTACCATCAGGGCTTCCATGAGTTAATGAACACAATGTGCCGGGACAGGCCTAGAACAAGGAGGCCCCTAGAAGGATTCGCTGCCATCATCAGGGATCTCCACGCCCCCACAGGGTCTGTGCCCAGCGAGTGATAGGCAAACGCTGCTTTTCCTTCCCTTGCCACCTTAAGTGAGGCGTGCAGGGCAGGCTGCATGTATAGGTGCATCGAGAGATGGGCCTGGAAGGAGGCAGGAGTTCAGCCAGTCAGAAAGGAGACAGGGCCATCAAGTCAGGGAGCAGCAAGAGCACAGTATGATGGATACTGTGCATGTATTGAGCACCTGCTGTGTGGCTGGCACTTTGTACGCGAACATTCTAATCTCACAACAGCCTTTAAAGTATTTCCCAGGTAAGCAGCAGGAGGCACAGAGACACTGGGTGACTTGCCCAAGGACACACAGGAAGCAAAGCCCATGCTCCTTTCACTGTTTCACTCAATATCAGAGGCAAAAGCGACTGGCATGTGTCTTGGGGATAATGAGGAAGCTTCGGTAAGAGGAGATCGCCTGGGCTCTAGTAGCAGGCGACCAGGGGGCTTCAGAGACCAGGGGTCAGATTTAGGAAGGCCTGGAATTCTGGGATAAGCAGCTTGGATTTTGCCTTAGAGGCCTTAGAAGAGACTCTGGGTTCTTGAGCACAGGAATGACAAGATGACACAGCTTGCTGGGAAGAGTGGTCTGCGGGTGGCGAGCAGGGTATTTGAAGAGACAGGACACAGAGGTGGGGTGGCCAGGCAAGAAACAGGTGTGCAAAGCTGGGACAGAGACGCAGGCCACAGCCTTTCTCACCCACCAGAGCCTGGCCCCAGCAGATCCCTGTGAGCACATCAGTGGTGGGCTCTCCAGCCCACTTGAGCCCTTGGCCAGCAACTGGGGACCCGGCGGGTGGCATGGCATTAGCCTTTTTGTGGCTGTCTGCACAAGGACATAGGTGTCTGGTACTTCTGGGGACATCTGAAGGAAAGATACCCCCTCCCCAAAGCTCTGCTGATGAGATGGCCTTGCCTGCCCTCTCCATCTGCTACACTTGCTCCCCAGGGATGCTCTGTTACCACCCTGAGGGCCCCTGGCTGGCTGCATGGGCCTCATGTCCCCTGGCGGGGCCTGCCTTTGCTCCCCTGGCTATCTTTGAGTAGCACAGGCTGGTGGCTCCCAACTCGGATTCCCGGGATTCATCTACCCCTGACTGTGGCCCAGCGTGGCAGCCCCTCCCAGCTCTGCTGTGGCCTTCGACAGACAGCTGCCTCCCTGCCTGCTCGCTCTGCCCGCTAGGACTTCAGGTCAATGCAACCCCTCCCCTCCCAGCAGGCTGCTCTCTGGCTGGAGGGATGGCGGCAGACGCTGACCCTCAGACCCTGTGCTGAGACAGTGGTGAAAACATCAGACTTTAGCTTTTCTAAAGCAAGACTTCAGTGACTGTGGGAGGGGACACAGAAGGGAGAAGACAGCTCCATGCCACAAGCCGGCAACACATAAATGTAGTAGAGTCACAGCCAGGGTCCTCAGTTCTTCCAAAAAACATTTTCTGGAAGACAAGTCTTGGGTAAGGTCTGAGGAAGCGTGGTTGAGGCAGTTTAGCAGTGAGGAGTTGAGCTGAGCCAGTGATCTTGGGCTGGGCTGGGCTTGCCTGGCTTGGAGCTCCAGCTCCAACGTTTAGTAGCTCCATGGCTGTGGGCAAGTGACGTACCCTCTCTGTCACTCAATTTCCTTATCCGCTGATGGGAGGATTAAGTAAAATAACCCACAAGCAATACCAGCACAGTGGCTGGCCCAAAGTAAGTGCTCACTAAATGTCGGCCATTATCGTTGCTGAGAGGGCGCAGGTGTTATCAGTCTGAGAAACAACAGACAGAAAAATACAGGGGCATGGATTTACACGTGCAGTGGAGTGGTGAGGCATTCATGAAGATGTCTTGAAGTTTAGGCTGGAGAACTATTTGATACAGATACAAAATAAATCAACTGTAAGTTCTTGGACAAAGAAAGGACATGAGACACTTGGTATCTGAAAATTCTTCTACATGCAAGACTGACTACAGAGGTCAGGCCCCAGATAAGGAATGCTGCTAGAAGCTTTGCAGGTGTCCAGGGAGAAGCAATGGAGAGCCTTGAATACCTAACTATGAAGTTAGGGTTTAATCTGTAGCCCATGCTCTGTCACATCATGGGTTTTGTTGTGCACACGGGTCTCCACAGTCCTCTTTTCCCTGCAAACCCTGAGGATTAAATTCGCGCTCCCTGGCTGTTTGACTGCCCTTAGGATCATGGAGCATCCTATTCATATGTGGGAGGATGCCAAGGTCAAGAGATTAGAGACCAAAGTGGAATTACATATAAATTATATTCTTGTGGGTTTCTTTTTTCATTCACCGTAATAAATTTCTGTGGGTGCTAACTGTGTGTGCTAAGCAGAGGAGATGAAGGTCTTGAGAGTGTCCTTCGTTGTTTGTCAGCCTTCAGTGATCGCTCCTCTGGTGGGGGCTACAGAAGACGCTGAGATGAATTGGACATGCACCCTGCTCTCCAGTGGCTTGGAGCATCGTCATGGAGATAAGACATGCATGTAACTCACCAAGCAGGAAGTGATGAGCCAGAAGGCTGGGCTGGTGATTCAGGACTGTGGGAGTAGAGAGGAGGGAGAAAAGGTTTCTAAACCTATTCACAATTTTAGAGCGGTTTACACATGTCACAAATTCACATACTAATCTCGTGCTATTTTTTGCAATCGAAAATTGGGGGGCAGGGATAGCTCCATGTTTTTCTTTAAAGGCTGAGGAGGAAAAGATACAATTTTTCTTTGAGCTCAAGGGTAGTTATTACAGTTACTGATTTATCTTTCAGGGTGTGGACTATGGATTTTTTTTTCACCTCTTAACATGAAATAAATGAGAGATACAAATGACTATATGACTTGGCAAAGATGGTAGAGACGTATGTCTACTTTTGCTCCCTCAAATCCCTTACAGCTCAAAATTGTTAGTCCCCTACTTTTAAAAATAAACAGGCAACCAGGAATCCCCAGACAGCCAGGAGTCTCTAACATTAAAGACACAGATCAAACCAGTCAATTAAACAAACAAAAAGAAGGAACTCTGGATCAAATACAGACCATTCACAGAGAGAACTCTTGAAAGAAAAACCCTATAATTAACGTAAGAGAGATAAAATAAGATACTAGACCCACGAGACAAGAATGGAATGCTGTATGAAAAAAGTCTTCCTAGAGGGGCTAGAAGATAAATCGAGGAAGTCTCCCAAAAAGCAGAAAAAGACAAAGAATGAAAATGAAAGAAAATATGAAGTTGGGCATTGTGGTGCGTGCCTGTATCCCCCAGCTGCTTGGAGGCTGAGGCCGGAGAATTGCTTGTGCCCAGGAGGTTGAGGCTGCAGTGAGCTAAGATTGCGCCCCTGCACTCCAGGCTGGGGACACAGCGAGACCCCCCACCATCTGTTAAAAGGAGAGAAAGGGAAAGAAAATATGAGAAAATCAGTGAATCAGTCTCCCAATTCAAATAGTAGGAGTTACAGAAAGAAACAACTGGGGGGAAAAGAAGGAGAGAAGTAATTATTTTAAAAATCATTCAAAAATAAAAATCCCCAGAACTTAAGGGCATGAGTTTCTAGAGCAAAGGCTCACTGTCCCCAGCACAGCAGATGAAAATAGATGCACACCAAGGCACATTATTGTGAAATTTCAGAACACCAGGGGAAAGGAGACAATCCCACAGAGCTTTAGGGGTTTTGAGGGAAGGTATAAAAGAGGCCAGATACGAAGAACCAGAAATTACAACAGCTTTGGACTTTTTGACAGCAACACTGGAAGCTAGAAGGCCATGGAATAAAGCCTTCAAAATTCTGGAGGAAAATTATTTCCAAATCAAAATTCCAAACCAGAGACCAGAAATCTGAATCGGCCAAAGTATGAGTTCAGTCTGAGGGTGGAAGGAAGACATTTTCAGATATGCAAGGTTGTCACGGGTTTGCCTCCCAGGCACCCTCTCTCAGGAAGCCACAGGAGGTATGCTTCACCAAAACAAAGAAGTAAACCAAGGAGGAAGACAAGGGATAAAGGCAATGAGCTCAGGGTGATGGTACCGGGAGGTCCCTGTAGGACAGGTGCACACCAGGCGCGGAGGACAACCCGTCCAGGCTGGAGCAGGTCAAGAGGATCTGGGAGACACTTCCAAGGAGATGAAATTGATAGAAAATCTAATGTGCCTGAACATCCTGAAGAGAGATTTAGACAACTGCCAGGGTTTGCACTTGATTTAATGACAAATACATAGAAAACTAAGCAAACGCACAAACATGATCATTAACAACTCCACGAAAAATGAAAAGTTCCGCAGGAAGGGAAAAGTTATATTTTACTACAAGGCGGCTCAACTATGAATAGAGTCAAATTAGTGTTGACTGACTAATGTAAACACTGATTACTGCTTTAACCAAAATTATGATATAATTATAAAAGGAAGATGAAGGGTGAGGAAGAGTTGGAGAAGAGGAAAGGGAGCTGAATTTTCATCTCTCAGAGTGGGAAGGGAATAGGTAATACCTAAACAAACCAAAGCATCAGAGGATAGCAATACACACATATTACTCACAGACATGGAGGCAAATACTAAAACTAATTAGCAAAAGGAGGTAAAAGTAGCTGCCTCTGGAGAAGGGTAAATGGGAAGAGCTGGTGGAAGACAGCAAATACCACAGAAGGACTGACTCTGCAGTGTATGCACATGTAACTTTGATCATATCAACAGAAAACCAAACCAAAGAGAAAAAAACAAAACTACACACAACACTAAATGACATTAAGAAACACAAAAAGAAAATAAGCACCATGAACTCACCATCCAACTCCAACCTGTGGAATCTACTTGTGTGTTCTCTCTATTCTCAGCGCCCCCCACCCCAGGATCAACATTACCCTGAATGTCATGTTTATCATTTCCTCTTTTTCTTCATAGTGCTTCCACATAGGTAGGATTGCCTAAGCAATATGTAATTTCATTTGTCCTATTTCTGACCTTCATAAGGATGAAATCATACTACAAGAGTATGGTAGGAAGCTTCTCAAATGGCCTCGATATCCCCCCTCCTCTTGAGGTCTTCACACACTTTTGCAATCCTTTCCTTTTGAGTGTGGGCTGGACCCAGTAACTGGTTTTTAACACATAGAGTGTGGCAGAAGTGATAGACTTTCATTTCTGAAGTTAGGTTATGGTACGATCATGGTTTTTGTCTTGGGTGATCTCTCACTAGTTCTCTTTTGGATTGCTCTCCCTGGGAGAAGCCACTGGCCATGTCGTGGAGGCAATCCCGTGGAGTGCCACATGGCAAGGGACACAGCCTGCCAATCACCACATGAGTAGCTTAGAAGCAGGTGCTCTTTAAGTGAATCCTTGAGGTGAGATGATAGCCCTGGCTGACAGCCTGACAATCTCATGAGAGACCTTGAGCCAGAGGTACCCATTTAAGCTGCACCTGAATTCCTGACCCACAGCAACTGTGAGATAGTAAATGTCTGTTGTTTTTAGCTGCTAAATTTTGGAGCAAGTTGTTATGCAGCAACAGATAATTAATACAGTGAACCCTTCTATGAATTGCTTCCTTTCTGTTCAACATATATATTATACTGACATATGTGGCTATAGGGTATTTTTATTCCTGTATTGTATTTCATCGTATGAATATGCCATGATTTATTTATTCATTCATCTATTGATGGACATTGGGATAGCTTACAGGTTTTTCCTCTAATCATAAATACTGCTACAAACATTGTTTTTATTGACTTATTGTTATTATGTTTTTAGAGACAGGGTCTTGCTCTGTTGCCCAGGCTGGACTGCAGTGGCACAATCATAGCTCACTGTAGCCTCGAACTCTGAGGCTCAAGAGATTCTCCTGCCTCGACTTCCTGAAATGTTGGGATTACAGCTATGAGCCACCTCACCCAGCCCAAACATTCTTAATCATAGCTCCTGGTACACTGCATAAGAGTTTCTCTAGGACACATACCTAAGACTGGGTTTGCTGGTTTGTAGGATATGTACATATTTTACTTCATTAGAAAATGCCAAGTTGTTTTCTAAGATGCCAGTGCCAATTAGGCTTCCACCAGTGGTGGAGAAGAATTCCTGTTGCTCCATATCCTCATTAATACTTGCCATGATCTGACTTTAGTCTTCGCCAAACTCGTGGGTGAATCGGGATCTCATCGAGATTTGACTTCACATTTCCATGATAAAAGCTTAAGTAGCCTTTCATATATTTCTGTGCCATTCATACTTTCTCTTCTGTGGCATGTCATTCATGACTTTTGTCCACTTTTCTATTGGCTTGTTTGTGTCTTGTTCTCATTTTAAAAGTTATATATTCTAGATAACAAGAATTTCATCAGTTTGTGTGTTGCAAATATCTACTTCCAGTGTGTGCCTTGCCTTTTTATTTTCTCTACGGTATTTTTGATGAATAGAAGTTTTAAATTTTACTGTAGGTGACTTTATCATCCTTTAATTTATAATTAGCAGTTATTTGGTTTCTGCAATAATGGTTCCCCCCCAAGATTGTAACATTTTTACATGTTTTAAAATGTTGCCTTTCTAAGTCTTTAATTTGCCTGGAATTGATTTTGCATATGGTGCGAAGCAGGGATACAACTTCATTTTTTTTCACATGGGTAAGCAATTATCTCAGTTTCACTTAATATGCAGACCATCCTTTCCCCCACTAGCTTTCAATGCTTCCTCTGTCTCATGAATTATATGTGGAAGTGGTACAATTTCTTGGTTCTCTATTCTGTTCCATTGGTCTATTTGTCTAACCCTGAAGTTATATTACAGTATTCTCTGTAGCCTTTCCTTGGTACATTCTCAGGGTCTAGCACATAATAGGTACTCACTAAAATGCTTGTGGGCTGAATAAGGCCTGCATGCTGCTTTTCCTGTCCCCCTACACAAGTGAGGCTTGCTTCAGTAATTCAGCGAATCATGTTAAAATGACTTCAGCTGTTCTCTTCGGCAGACTAAACCTTTGTCAAAGTGGCTGCCAAATTCCTTGAGCTTGGAGTCAGTTCTCACTATTAATAAGAACTCAGCTTCGTGACACTAGCTGTGATCTGTTACAGCACTAGGGTGACAGAAAATAAGCCAAAGTGAAATGACTGCCTCTTCTTCCTTCTTCTCCAAAAGAGTTTGAACACTTTTTAAAACCAGTTTTGTTAAAAAAATAAAATAAAATAAAATAAAATAAAAAGGATTATTTTCACATGGATCTACATGATATGATGGCTCTAGCCATTTGTCCTGGGTCTGATTTGTTGGAAATTTGCAGGCATTGAACCAGACCCTCTGCAGAACTCCAAAGCAGCCAAACGGACTGCTTTGTCCTTGCCTTCCAGTCAATCCTCAGAGCCACACAGTCAGACCTGCCCACTGAGCTGTGAACCCTGTGCTTGAGAATTTCTCCAATGAAGAAGCCAACAACACATACCTGGCTTGGCCCCCTGGTGGCCTCTGACCCCCACCGGTGCCTCCCTCCTCGGAACACGGCCCTCCTCTGGCGTCTGCAGCGGCTCACCGGCCTGCTTTCCTCCCACTTCGACTGTGCCTTCTT